TAGTAGCACGTCAGTTTGTAGACGTAGTATTGTATACGTGGTTACTCGTAGCATCATGGTATCGTAGACGTAGTATCGTAGCATCGTCGACGTAGCATCGTGGTATCGTAGCCGTAGCATCGTGGTATCGTAGTATCGTAGCCGTAGCATCGTAGCATCGTAGACGTAGCATCGTGGTATCGTAGAGTAGTATCGTAGCATCGTAGACGTAGCATCGTGGGTATCGTAGAAGTAGCCATCGTAGACGTGGTATCGTAGACGTAGCATCGTAGACGTGGTATCGTAGACGTAGCATCGTTAGCATCGTGGTATCGTAGACGTAGTATTGTAGACGTAGTATCGTAGCATCGTAGACGTGGTATCGTAGACGTAGCATCGTAGATGTGGTATTGTAGACGTAGCATCGTAGCATCGTGGTATCGTAGACGTAGTATTGTAGACGTAGTATCGTAGTATTGTAGACGTGGTATCGTAGCATCGTGGTATCGTAGACGTAGTATCGTAGCATCGTAGACGTAGCATCGTGGTATCGTAGACGTAGTATCGTAGCATCGTAGACGTAGCATCGTGGTATCGTATCGTAGCATCGTAGACGTAGCATCGTGGCATCGTAGCCGTAGCATCGTGGTATCGTAGTATCGTAGCCGTAGCATCGTAGCATCGTAGACGTAGCATCGTGGTATCGTAGCCGTAGTATCGTAGCATCGTAGCCGTAGTATCGTAGTATCGTAGCCGTAGCATCGTAGACGTAGCATCGTGGTATCGTAGACGTAGCATCGTGGTATCGTAGACGTAGCATCGTAGCATCGTAGCCGTAGTATCGTAGTATCGTAGACGTAGCATCGTGGCATCGTAGCCGTAGCATCGTAGCATCGTAGCCGTAGCATCGTAGCATCGTAGACGTAGTATCGTAGACGTTGTATCGTAGCATCGTAGCCGTAGCATAGTGACAACCCTAATCTGGTTGATGTAGTAGTGGAATAATGTTTATGATTGAGGTCGTACTTATCACTCCACTGTCCTGTCTGTTAGGGGTAGAGGTTAGGGTATAGAGGTGGGCTAAATGACCTGGATCAAACCAGTGTTTTCTGTCTGTTAGGGGTAGAGGTCAGGGTATAGAGTGGGCTAAATGACCTGGATCAAACCAGTGTTTCTGTCTGTTAGGGTAGAGGTCAGGGTATAGAGGTGGGCTAAATGACCTGGATCAACCAGTGTTTCTGTCTGTTAGGGTAGAGGTCAGGGTTAGAGTGGGCTAAATGACCTGGATCAAACCAGTGTTTTCTGTCTGTTAGGGGTAGAGGTCAGGGTATAGAGGTGGGCTAAATGACCTGGATCAAACCAGTGTTTTCTGTCTGTTAGGGGTAGAGGTCAGGGTATAGAGGTGGGCTAAATGACCTGGATCAAACCAGTGTTTTCTGTCTGTTAGGGGTAGAGGTCAGGGTATAGAGGTGGGCTAAATGACCTGGATCAAACCATGTGTTTCTGTCTGTTAGGGGTAGAGGTCAGGGTATAGAGGTGGGCTAAATGACCTGGATCAAACCAGTGTTTTCTGTCTGTTAGGGGTAGAGGTCAGGGTATAGAGGTGGGCTAAATGACCTGGATCAAACCAGTGTTTTCTGTCTGTTAGGGGTAGAGGTCAGGGTAAGAGGTGGGCTAAATGACCTGGATCAAACCAGTGTTTTCTGTCGTTAGGGGTAGAAGGGTCAGGGTATAGAGGTGGGCTAAATGACCTGGATCAAACCAGGGTTTTTTCTGTCTGTTAGGGGTAGAGGTCAGGGTATAGAGGTGGGCTAAATGACCTGGATCAAACCAGTGTTTTTCATGTCTGTTAGGGGTAGAGGTCAGGGTATAGAGGTGGGCTAATGACCTGGATCAAACCAGTGTTTTCTGGTCTGTTAGGGGTAGAGGTCAGGGTATAGAGGTGGGCTAAAATGACCTGGTCAAACCAGTTGTTTTTTCTGTCTGTTAGGGGTAGAGGTCAGGGTATAGAGGTGGGCTAAATGACCTGGATCAAACCAGTGTTTTCTGTCTACAGGTACCTTGCAGAGTGGATGACGTATGGTTACCCCACGGCTAATGTCTGGCCGCTTGACATCAAACGCTTTGGCAACCTTCAGAGCAGCCGAACCTTCCTCCGACACAGGGTCATGGAGGTCATGCGTGAGTGGAGTACTGGCTACACACACACACACACACACACACACACACACACACACACACACACACACACACACACACACACACACACACACACCACACACACACCACACACAGACAGTCATGGAGGTCATGCGTGAGTGGAGTACTGGCCACAAACACACACACACACACACACACCACACACCCCCACACACACACACCACACACACACCCCACACACACACACACACACACAGACAGTCATGGAGGTCATGCGTGAGTGGAGTACTGGCCACACACACACACACACACAACACACACACACACACACACACACACACACACACACACACACACACACACACACACACACACACACACCACACACACACCCAGACACACACACACAGACACACACACACACACACCACACACACACACACACACCACACACACACACCCACACACACACACACACCACACACACACACACCACACACACACACACACACCAGACAGTCATGGAGGTCATGCGTGAGTGGAGTACTGGCCACACACACACACACACACACCACACACACACACACACACACACACCACACACACACAGACAACACACAGACACACACACACACCCCACACACACACACACACACACACACACACGACACACACACACACACCACACACACACACACCACACAGACACACACACACAGACACACACACACACACACACACACACACACACCACACACACACACACAGACAGTCAGAGTCATGGAGGTCATGCGTGAGTGAGTACTGGCTACACCACACACACACACACACACACACAGACACACACACACACACACACACACACACACACACACACACACAGACAGTCATGGAGGTCATGCGTGAGTGGAGTACTGGCCACACACACACACACACACACACACACACACACACACACACACCACACAACACACACACACACACACACACACACCACACACACACACACCACAGACACACACACACACACACACACACACAGACAGTCATGGAGGTCATGCGTGAGTGGAGTACTGGCCACACACACACACCCACACACCACACACACACCCACAACACACACCACACACAACACCACACACACAACACACACAACACACCACACACAACACACCACAGACCACACAACAGACACACACACAGACACACACACACACACATACACACACACATGACACACACACAGACACCACCACCACAGACACACACACACCAACACACACACACACACACACACACACACACACACACACACACACACACACACACACACACACACACACACACACACACACACACACACACACACACACACACACACACAGACAGAGTCATGGAGGTCATGCGTGACTCCTTACCATAGAAATACACACAATGACAGTCACTGTTAGTAATGCACAGACTGAATGCTAAACTGTTAGTAATGCACAGACTGAATGCTGAACTGTTAATAATGCACAGACTGAATGCTGAACTGTTAGTAATGCACAGACTGAATGCTGAGCTGTTAATAATGCACAGACTGAATGCTGGACTGTTAATAATGCACAGACTGAATGCTGAACTGTTAATAATGCACAGACTGAATGCTGAACTGTTAGTAATGCACAGACTGAATGCTGAGCTGTTAATAATGCTCAGACTGAATGCTAAACTGTTAGTAATGCTCAGACTGAATGCTGAACTGTTAATAATGCACAGACTGAATGCTGAACTCTTAGTAATGCACAGACTGAATGCTGAACTGTTAATAATGCACAGACTGAATGCTGAACTGTTAGTAATGCACAGACTGAATGCTGAACTGTTAGTAATGCACAGACTGAATGCTGAACTGTTAATAATGCACAGACTGAATGCTGAACTGTTAATAATGCACATACTGAATGCTAAACTGTTAGTAATGCACAGACTGAATGCTGAACTGTTAATAATGCACAGACTGAATGCTGAACTGTTAATAATGCACAGACTGAATGCTGAGCTGTTAATAATGCACAGACTGAATGCTAAACTGTTAGTAATGCACAGACTGAATGCTGAACTGTTAATAATGCACAGACTGAATGCTGAGCTGTTAATAATGCACAGACTGAATGCTGAGCTGTTAATAATGCACAGACTGAATGCTGAACTGTTAGTAATGCACAGACTGAATGCTGAACTCTTAGTAATGCACAGACTGAATGCTGAACTGTTAATAATGCACAGACTGAATGCTGAGCTGTTAATAATGCACAGACTGAATGCTGAGCTGTTAATAATGCACAGACTGAATGCTGAACTGTTAATAATGCACAGACTGAATGCTGAGCTGTTAATAATGCACAGACTGAATGCTGAACTGTTAGTAATGCACAGACTGAATACTGAACTGTTAGTAATGCACAGACTGAATGCTGAACTGTTAATAATGCACAGACTGAATGCTGAACTGTTAATAATGCACAGACTGAATGTTAAACTGTTAGTAATGCTCAGACTGAATGCTGAACTGTTAATAATGCACAGACTGAATGCTGAACTCTTAGTAATGCACAGACTGAATGCTGAACTGTTAATAATGCACAGACTGAATGCTGAACTGTTAGTAATGCACAGACTGAATGCTGAACTGTTAGTAATGCACAGACTGAATGCTGAACTGTTAATAATGCACAGACTGAATGCTGAACTGTTAATAATGCACAGACTGAATGCTAAACTGTTAGTAATGCACAGACTGAATGCTGAACTGTTAATAATGCACAGACTGAATGCTGCTGTTAATAATGCACAGACTGAATGCTGAGCTGTTAATAATGCACAGACTGAATGCTAAACTGTTAGTAATGCACAGACTGAATGCTGAGCTGTTAATAATGCACAGACTGAATGCTGAGCTGTTAATAATGCACAGACTGAATGCTGAACTCTTAGTAATGCACAGACTGAATGCTGAACTGTTAATAATGCACAGACTGAATGCTGAGCTGTTAATAATGCACAGACTGAATGCTGAGCTGTTAATAATGCACAGACTGAATGCTGAACTGTTAATAATGCACAGACTGAATGCTGAGCTGTTAATAATGCACAGACTGAATGCTGAACTGTTAGTAATGCACAGACTGAATGCTGAACTCTTAGTAATGCACAGACTGAATGCTGAACTGTTAGTAATGCACAGACTGAATGCTGAACTGTTAATAATGCACATACTGAATGCTGAACTCTTAGTAATGCACAGACTGAATGCTAAACTGTTAGTAATGCTCAGACTGAATGCTGAACTGTTAATAATGCACAGACTGAATGCTGAACTCTTAGTAATGCACAGACTGAATGCTAAACTGTTAGTAATGCACAGACTGAATGCTGAACTGTTAATAATGCACAGACTGAATGCTGAGCTGTTAGTAATGCACAGACTGAATGCTGAACTGTTAGTAATGCACAGACTGAATGCTAAACTGTTAGTAATGCACAGACTGAATACTGAACTGTTAGTAATGCACAGACTGAATGTCACGTTCGTTCATAGACGGGTCGGACCAAGGCGCAGCGTGATATGCATACATGTTTATTATAACGAATAAACACAATGACAAAACAACAAACGAAACTAAACGAAACGTGAAGTCCAAGGTAGACACAAACAACATACCTTACACGGAACAAGATCCCACAACCCACTAGTGCCAAAAGGCTGCCTAAGTATGGTCCCCAATCAGAGACAACGAGCGACAGCTGCCTCTGATTGGGAACCACACCGGCCAACGTAGATCTAGACGTACTAGAACTACAACATAGAAATACACAACATAGAAACTACTCATATAAGCGTCCCCTGAGTCAGGGCGTGACACTGAATACTGAACTGTTAGTAATGCACAGACTGAATGCTGAACTTCCTGCACAGTTAGTAATGCACAGATTGAATGCTGAACTTCCTACTTTGCTCATATGGCTACACTCAAAATGGCCGCCAGTCCACCCATTACGTTAACATTGACTTGAATACGGATGTCCATGCTAGTAATTCTATTTCTGAGGTACTGACCACATGGTGAACACAGAGGTAGAGGCCAGGCTTGAGTGATGACTCAAAAGGTTCTATGTCGTGTAACATCTGTCTGTCCCTCTCTCTGTATCTGTGTCTGACTGTCTGTCCCTCTCTCTCCCTCTGTGTCTGACTGTCTGTCCCTCCCTCTGTGTCTGACTGTCTGTCCCTCTCTCTGTGTCTGACTGTCTGTCCCTCTCTCTGTGTCTGACTGTCTGTCCCTCTCTCTGTGTCTGACTGTCTGTCCCTCTCTCTGTGTCTGACTGTCTGTCCCTCTCTCTGTGTCTGACTGTCTGTCCCTCTCTCTGTGTCTGACTGTCTGTCCCTCTCTCTGTGTCTGACTGTCTGTCCCCTCCCCTCTTGCTCTCCTCCTCGGTCTGACTGTCTGTCCCTCTCTCTGTGTCTGACTGTCTGTCCCTCTCTCTGTGTCTGACTGTCTGTCCCTCTCTCTGTGTCTGACTGTCTGTCCCTCTCTCTGTGTCTGACTGTCTGTCCCTCTCTCTGTATCTGTGTCTGACTGTCTGTCCCTCTCTCTGTATCTGTGTCTGACTGTCTGTCCCTCTCTCTGTGTCTGACTGTCTGTCCCTCTCTCTCTCTCTGTGTCTGACTGTCTCTCCCTCTCTCTGTGTCTGACTGTCTGTCCCTCTTCTCTCTGGTCGACTGTCTGTCACCTCTTCGTGTCTGACTGTCTGTCCTCTCTCTCTCTGTGTCTGACTGTCTGTCCCTCTTCTCTGTGTCTGACTGTCTGTCCCTCTCTGTCTCTCTCTCTCGTGTCTGACTGTCTGTCCCTCTCTCTGTGTCTGACTGTCTGTCCCTCTCTCTCCTCTGTGTCTGACTGTCTGTCCCCTCTCCTCTCGTGTCTGACTGTCTGTCCCTCTCTCTCCTCTGTGTCTGACTGTCTGTCCTCTCCTCTCTCTGTGTCTGACTGTCGTCCTCCTCTCTCTCTGTGTCTGACTGTCTGTCCCTCTCTCTCTGTGTCTGACTGTCTGTCCCTCTCTCTGTGTCTGACTGTCTGTCCTCTCTCTCTGTGTCTGACTGTCTGTCCCTCTCTCTGTGTCTGACTGTCTGTCCCTCTCTCTGTGTCTGACTGTCTGTCCCTCTCTCTGTGTCTGACTGTCTGTCCCCTCTCTCTGTGTCTGACTGTCTGTCCCTCTCTCTGTGTCTGACTGTCTGTCCCTCTCTCTGTGTCTGACTGTCTGTCCCTCTCTCTGTGTCTGACTGTCTGTCCCTCTCTCTGTGTCTGACTGTCTGTCCCTCTCCTCTGTGTCTGACTGTCTGTCCCTCCCTCTGTGTCTGACTGTCTGTCCCTCTCTCTGTGTCTGACTGTCTGTCCCTCTCTCTGTGTCTGACTGTCTGTCCCTCTCTCTGTGTCTGACTGTCTGTCCCTCTCTCTGTCTGATGTCTGTCCCTCTCTCTGTGTCGACTGTCTGTCCCTCTCTCTGTGTCGACTGTCTGTCCCTCCTCTGTGTCTGACTGTCTGTCCCTCCTCTGGTGTCTGACTGTCTGTCCCTCTTCTGTGTCTGACTGTCTGCTCTCTGTGTCTGACTGTCTCTCCCTCTCTGTGTCTGACTGTCTGTCTCTCCCTCTGTGTCTGACTGTCTGTCCCTCTCTCTGTGTCTGACTGTCTGTCCCTCTCTCTGTGTCTGACTGTCTGTCTCTCTCTCTGTGTCTGACTGTCTGTCCCTCTCTCTCTGTGTCTGACTGTCTGTCCCTCTCTCTGTGTCTGACTGTCTGTCCCTCTCTCTGTGTCTGACTGTCTGTCCCTCTCTCTGTGTCTGACTGTCTGTCCCTCTCTCTGTGTCTGACTGTCTGTCCCTCTCTCTGTGTCTGACTGTCTGTCCCTCTCTCTCTCTCGGTGTCTGACTGTCTGTCCCTCTCTCTCTCTCGGTGTCTGACTGTCTGTCCCTCCCCAGCCCTGCTGTATAACCTGAAGGTTCCTCGTTGGGACTTCCAGACAGGCCGACAGCTGAGGACCTCTCCCCTGTACGACCGCCTTGACACACAGGGAGCCAGATGGATGGAGAAACACGGCTTTGAGAGGGCCAAGTACTTCATCCCTGCAGGGAAGGGTGAGGCGGCATACACAGACACACCACCACACACACACACACACACACACACACACACACACACAGCTCCCGTACAAATGTTCATTTCCCAATGCTTCTGTCTATCAGAGACCTGCTGTCTCTTTGCACTGTCTGTCTGTCAGAATTAAACAGTTATACCATCTGTTCTCAGACCTGCTGTCTCTGGATGCCAGTAAGACGTTCTATAAGCCTGACTGGTTTGACATCGTGGGGGCGGAGGTGAAGTGCTGCAAGGAGGCCGTCTGTGTCATCGACATGTCCTCCTTCACCAAGTTTGAGCTCACTGTGAGTGACCCCTGGGAGGAGAGGGGAGGAGAGGAGAGGGGAGGAGAGGAGAGGAGAGGAGAGGAGAGGAGAGGAGAGGAGAGGAGAGGAGAGGAGAGGAGAGGAGGGGAGGGGAGGGGAGGGAGGGGTATCGTGTTATCATCTTCCTCATATGATGTAACCTGTAGGTGGCAGCACTGACCGCTAGACCCACAGAAGGAAATAGAAAACGGAATGTTTGTATAATGTGAATGACATTATCTCCATGGCCACCCCAGGTCACATGACATTATCTCTATGGCCACCCCAGGTCACATGACATTATCTCCATGGCCACCCCAGGTCACATGACATTATCTCTATGGCCACCCCAGGTCACATGACATTATCTCTATGGCCACCCCAGGTCACATGACATTATCTCTATGGCCACCCCAGGTCACATGACATTATCTCTATGGTCACCCCAGGTCACATGACATTATCTCTATGGCCACCCCAGGTCACATGACATTATCTCCATGGTCACCCCAGGTCACATGACATTATCTCTATGGTCACCCCAGGTCACATGACATTATCTCTATGGCCACCCCAGGTCACATGACATTATCTCTATGGTCACCCCAGGTCACATGACATTATCTCCATGGCCACCCCAGGTCACATGACATTATCTCCATGGTCACCCCGGGTCACAACCTTTCTTTCTGTGCCAGTCTGCAGATGACCAGGCGTTGGAGCTGCTACAGCACCTGTGTGCCAATGACCTAGATGTGCCAGTGGGTCACATCGTTCATACGGGCATGCTGAACGAGAGGGGCGGATATGAGAACGACTGCAGCGTGGTCAGAGTCAAGAAGAACAGGTGAGAGCTTAGCCATTAACAAGAACGACTGCAGTGTGGTCAGTCAAGACGAACAGGTGAGAGCTTAGCCATTAACAAGAACGACTGCAGTGTGGTCAGTCAAGAAGAACAGGTGAGAGCTTAGCCATTAACAAGAACGACTGCAGTGTGGTCAGTCAAGAAGAACAGGTGAGAGCTTAGCCATTAACAAGAACGACTGCAGTGTGGTCAGTCAAGAAGAACAGGTGAGAGCTTAGCCATTAACAAGAACGACTGCAGTGTGGTCAGTCAAGACGAACAGGTGAGAGCTTAGCCATTAACAAGAACGACTGCAACGTGGTCAGTCAAGACGAACAGGTGAGAGCTTAGCCATTAACAAGAACGGAGGGGAAGAGGGGAGTACATTCACCAGTTCATAACTCCACATGGGATAACTCCACATGGGATAACTCCACATGACGCAAGACAATGGCTGGGGAGGTGACGGGTTAGTTCCTCATCTAAATGTTTTTCTCTCTGTCTCTCTCTCTCTCTCTCGCTCTCTCTCTCTCTCGCTCTGTCTCTCTCTCTCGCTCTGTCTGTCTGTCTCTGTCTGTCTGTCTGTCTCTCTCTTGTCTCTCTCTCTCTGTCTCTCTAGCTTCTTCATCATCTCTCCTACGGATCAGCAGGTCCACTGCTGGTCGTGGTTGAAGAAGCACATGCCCAACGACCCACAGCTCCACCTAGAGGACGTCAGCTGGAAGTACACAGGTGAGAACTAGAACTGCAGGCCTCTGTCTTTCCCTCTACAGTGGAATGTTAAACAATGATGCAGAGAGCAATTCAATGTATTCAAAGGTCAAGTAGGGGGTTCTTACAGTGCCTTGCTAAAGTATTCATCCCCCTTGGCGTTTTCCCTATTTTGTTGCATTACAACCTGTAATTTAAATGGATCTTTATTTGGATTTTATGTTATGGACATACACAAAATAGTCCAAATTGGTGAAGTGAAATTAAAAAAATAACTTCTATAAAATAAATAACGGAAAAGTGGTGCGTGCATATGTATTCACCCCCTTTTGCTATGAAGCCCCTAAATAAGATCTGGTGCAACCAATTACCTTCAGAAGTCACATAATTAGTTAAATAAAGTCCACCTGTGTGCAATCTAAGTGTCACATGATCTGTCACATGATCTCAGTATACATACACCTGTTCTGAAAGGCCCCAGAGTCTGCAACACCACTAATCCCACGGAGCACCATTAAATCCATTATTAAAAAATGGAAAGAATATGGCACCACAACAAACCTGCCAAGAGAGGGCCGCCCACCAAAACTCATGGACCAGGCAAGGAGGGCATTAAGCTGAGGGGCAACAAAGAGACCAAAGATAACCCTGAAGGAGCTGCAAAGCTCCACAGTGGCGATAGGAGTATCTGTCCATAGGACCACTTTAAGCCGTACGATCCACAGAGCTGGGCTTTACGGAAGAGTGGCCAGAAAAAAAGCTATTGCTTAAAGAAAAAAATAAGCAAACACGTTTGGTGTTCGCCAAAAGCCATGTGGGAGACTCCCCAAACATATGGAAGAAGGGACTCTGGTCAGATGAGACTAAAATTGAGCTTTTTGGCCATCAAGGAAAACGCTATGCCTGGCGCAAACTCAACACCTCATCATCCCGAGAACACCATCCCCACAGTGAAGCATGGTGGTGGCAGCATCATGCTGTGGGGATGTTTTTCATCGGCAGGGACTGGGAAACTGGTCAGAATTGAAGGAATGATGGATGGCGCTAAATACAGGGAAATTCTTGAGGGAAACCTGTTTCAGTCTTCCAGAGATTTGAGACTGGGACGGAGGTTCACCTTCCAGCAGGACAATGACCCTAAGCATACTGCTAAAGCAACACTCGAGTGGTTTAAGGGGAAACATTTAATTGCTGCAAAAGGTGGCTCTACATAGTATTGACTTTGGGGGGGTGAATAGTTATGCATGCTCAAGTTCTCTGTGTTTTTGTCTTATTTCTTGTTTGTTTCACAAAAAAAATTATTTTGCATCTTCAAAGTGGTAGGCATGTTGTGTAAATCAAATGATACAAACCCCCCCAAAAAATCCATTTTAATTCCAGGTTGTAAGGCAACAAAATAGGAAAAATGCCAAAGGGGGTGAATACTTTCGCAAGGCACTGTATATTTGTCCTGTTTCACTGCATGTACAAGTGGGTAACCTGTATGAAATGGGTTTTTTGCCTATCCCAACTCCTTGGGGTCACGGCCAGGGATCAGCCCTGTTGACTTGATGAGGGTCACGGCCAGGGATCAGCCCTGTTGACTTGATGAGGGTCACGGCCAGGGATCAGCCCTGTTGACTTGATGAGGGTCACGGCCAGGGATCAGCCCTGTTGACTTGATGAGGGTCACGGCCAGGGATCAGCCCTGTTGACTTGATGAGGGTCACGGCCAGGGATCAGCCCTGTTGACTTGATGAGGGTCACGGCCAGGGATCAGCCCTGTTGACTTGATGAGGGTCACGGCCAGGGATCAGCCCTGTTGACTTGATGAGGGTCACGGCCAGGGATCAGCCCTGTTGACTTGATGAGGGTCACGGCCAGGGATCAGCCCTGTTGACTTGATGAGTCTCAATTCTACACAATGCATTTCTGTTCTGAACCCCTCTCCCCGCCTCCCTTCTACAGCGCTGAATCTTATTGGTCCACGGGCAATGGACGTCCTAGGAGAACTATCGTATGTCTCCATGACTCCCGAACACTTCCCATCCCTCTTCTGTAAGGTGAGGAACCTGTCCATCTGTAGAAGAGTCACGTTATGTAATAGTGAAGTGGACCCATCTCACCAGGAGGCTGAAGGGTGTGTGTGTGTGTGTGTGTGTGTTCTGAGCTGTGTGTGTGTGTTTTCTGAGCCCAGTGTGTGTGTGTGTGTGTGTGTTTCTGAGCCGTGTGTGTGTGTGTGTGTGTGTTTCTGAGCCGTGTGTGTGTGTGTGTGTGTGTTTCTGAGCCCAGTGTGTGTGTAGTGTGTTTCTGTTTCTGACCCTTGTGTGTGTGTGTGTGTGTGTGTGTTTCTGAGCTGTGTGTGTGTGTTTCTGAGCCCAGTGTGTGTGTGTGTGTTTCTGAGCCCAGTGTGTGTGTGTGTGTGTGTGTGTGTGTGTGTGTGTGTGTGTGTGTGTTTCTGAGCCAGTGTGTGTGTGTGTGTGTTTCTGAGCTGGTGTGTGTGTGTTTCTGAGCCCAGTGTGTGTGTGTGTGTTTCTGAGCCCAGTGTGTGTGTGTGTGTGTGTGTGTGTGTGTGTGTGTGTGTGTGTGTGTTTCTGAGCCCAGTGTGTGTGTGTGTGTGTGTGTGTGTTTCTGACCCTTGTGTGTGTGTGTCTACAGGAGATGAGTGTGGGCTATGCCAACGGGATCAGAGTAATGAGTATGACCCATACAGGAGAGCCAGGCTTCATGCTTTATATCCCTATAGAGGTGAGTTATACACTACTAGACAGGAGAGCCAGGCTTCATGCTTTATATCCCTATAGAGGTGAGTTATAGACTAAAGCAATAAGGCACGAGGGGCACTAGACTACTATACACTACTAGACTATTATACACTACTAGACTATTATACACTACTAGACTACTATACACTACTAGACTATTATACACTACTAGACTATTATACACTACTAGACTATTATACACTACTAGACTATTATACACTACTAGACAGGAGAGCCAGGCTTCATGCTTTATATCCCTATAATAGGCTGCAGAATAGACTACTATACAAGACTATTATACACTACTAGACTATTATACACTACTAGACTATTATACCACAACTTTAACTAGACTATTATACACTACTAGACTATTATACACTACTAACTATTATATACTAGACTATTTACACTACTAGACTATTATACACTACTAGACTACTATACACTACTAGACTATATACACTACTAGACTATTATACACTACTAGACTACTATACACTACTAGACTACTATACACTACTAGACTATTATACACTACTAGACTATTATACACTACTAGACTACTATACACTACTAGACTACTATACACTACTAGACTACTATACACTACTAGACTATTATACACTACTAGACTATTATACACTACTAGACTACATATAGACTATTACTACTACTATTTTCACTACTAGACTACTATACACTACTAGACTATTATACACTACTAACTATTATACAAAAATAAATAAAACTATATAACACTACTCGACTATTATACACTACTAGACTTTTCCTATACACACCTACTAGACTATTTATACCTACTAGACTATTACATACACTACTAGACTATTTTACCTACTAGACTCTTTTAACTACTGGGCTATTTTACACTATAGAATTTTACCTACTAGACTATTTACACTCTAGACTATTTAAACCCCACTGACTTTAAAAACCCTATAATAAATATACACACTAATATTACCCTTGCTTTTACATACAGAAATATACCTACTAGACTATATACCACTAGACTATTAACACTACTAACTATTTAATACATTTAAAAAAAAAAAAAAAAAAAAAAATTTTTTTTTTTTTTTTAAAAGTTTTTTTTTTGACACTTTAACTAGACAAAAAAATACAAAATTTTTAAACTAAAAATATACACTACTAGACTTTTCCCAAAAAATCACTACTAGACTACTATACACTCTAACTATATA